GAATGGTCTTGGCATAAACTGCATTGTACTTCATGGTTTTGAGCTGGATTAGGAGGAGGTGTTACTTTTATTCATTTAGAAAGGCTGAATTGGGTGTGTTAAAAAAGCGGACTGAACGATATTCTCCCCAACACTTATCCACATTAATGATGATGGTGGTGATGATAAACTCCCCTGCTTACAATTTGGCACTTTGCATGTATCATAAAAGAAAAGGAAGAAACAACAACAGCAGCAACAAAATGAAAATCAGTGCCATAGAAAACTGACAAGAATAGAAAAGGAATATAAAAGCAATCATAAAATCCACATGCAATACAGAAGTAATCTTTCTGTGCAGAATTTGGCAGTCTTCCAAAATGGATATCATTTCAGAACATCCTACAAACCCTCCGTTGTCTTAACAGCCATTTGTGTTTTTCCCCGGTTTTGTAATTGTCTTTCTACTTATTAGAGAACATGTAGATGTTGTCAAGTACATAAAGATATTAAAGGCGCTCCATTTTGCCTGCCTTCCATTTTCACTAAAAGGATAAAGTGACTGGTCGGTAGACACTCTAGAAAGAAAATATGTTAGACTTGGGCCCTCCTTCACGATGGTGAGATCAGCAGCTTTGATGCTTTCAGACAGAATCATTGCTGCATAAAGTATCCTTCTCTTTCATAGCAATAGCAATAGCAGTTTGACTTATATACCGCTTCATAGGGCTTTCAGCCCCCTCTAAGCGGTTTACANTCTCTCTTCCTCCCTCCTCTCCTTCTCTTTCTCTCTCTCCCTCCCACCTCTCCTTACTTCTGCATTTATTTTTACCACTTTTTATGCCATCACAACAAAAGGCTTAGACATTATTACAAAAGGGGAGAGAATTTCAATAAATATGGGGCCGAGATGGAATTCTCACAGGTAACATATGGTAATTTTACAGTTGCATTCATACCACTTTCTGTCATTTCCAAGGGAAAATGTCCTAAGGGAATTCCCCCAATGGGCTTTCTCAGTGGCAGTGTGCTGTTATTGGAAATTGGAATATATATCCTTGAAAAGTCATTGGTGGAACTTTTTTTCCCTTGGAGAAATTGTCCACTTAGCCAGCATTATTTGATGAGGAATTCAGAACCACAACAAGTGAAGAGGAAGTGAAATAGGAGCAGGGGGATCTTAGAAGACAGCTGGCGAGCCTGTGGAACTGATTTGTTGCATTAAATGAGAATTGTTTAGCTAATACAGTGGTTCCCAAACTTGGCAACTTTAAGACTTGTGGACTTCAACTCCCAGAATTCTCCAGCCAGAATTCTGAGAGTTGAAGTCCACAAGTCTTAAAGTTGCCAAGTTTGGGAACCACTGAGCTAATGGAACGAAGCTGTATGTTTCAATTTGGGTGAATGGGTTGTGTGTTGCTTGCTTGCTTGCCAGGCATATGGTCTGAGGATGATGGGCTTATGGTTGCAGCAGATTCAGTGATCATATGGTCTAAGGTTGATTGGAGCATTAGAAATGCAGACACCACGTTGGTTTGTGATTGGTGTGCAGATTGCATGGTGACTTGCCTGCCTGGTATGAAGGTTGTGAAATTTTGTCTAGTTAAGCTGTTTGATAGTGTTGGGGAGGACTGTGTGTGACACCAAGATGCTACTGACATAATCTATGTTGGCACCAATAATATTGGGAAACAAAGTTAGCCAACCCAGGAAGCCAAATTCACATCGAAGCCCAAGATCATTAGGAATAGAACTGAAAATAAAGTGCTGAAACTACAATGCTACTTATGGTGCTTTTGCATCTGTTCTGGTTACAACACTTGGAAAAAAATAAAATAGAATTGTGGAAAATGGACAAAAGAGCAACCAAAAGGAAAAGAGGACCCAAATACTTTCTGTATAAGAAAAGGCTAGTGTGTTTCGGACTCCTTCACTTGGAGAAACAGTGATAGATAAGAGAAATGGTTAATATGGATTGAATCATGCAAAGCCTGGGAAAAAAGGATTAGGAAAAAAAAAACTTTTCTCCTTCTTTCTAAACACAAGAGGCAGGTGCCATCCAATGAAGGAGACTGAAAATAGATACAAGAAAACATCTCTTAGAACAAATACCATATTTTTTGGAGTATAAGACACATTTTTCCCCCCCAAAAAACAGGCTGAAAAACTGGGTGCGTCTTATACACTGAATACAACATTTTTGGCTTCCTGAAATCCCACCCTGCACATCCTGTTTTTCGCAAAAAAATGATGCACAGAGGCTTTGGGAGGCCTGCAAAGTGCTCTCAGGGGCCAGGGAGGGCAAAAATGAGCTAAAATGGACCCATTTTTCATTTTAAAAAATGGGGGTGTTTTGCCCTCCCAAGCTCCCAGGAGCACTCTGCAGGCCTCCCAAACCCACTGCATGCCCTATTTTTGTGAAAAATGGGCATATTTTTCACCTTCCAAACCCACCACAATTCATGTTTTTCTCTCTGGCAACTCTGCATGGATTTGGGAGGCCTGCAGAGTGCTCCTGGCCTGGGAGGGCAAAAATGAGTGAAAATGGGCCCTTTTTTTCATAAAAATGGGAGTGTTTTTGCCCTCCCAAGCTCCCAGGAGCACTCTACAGGTCTCCCAAACCCTCTGCATGCCCCATTTTTTGCCAAAAGGGCCCATTTTGTGAAAAACAAGTCCATTTTTTTGCTCATTTTTGCCCTCCCCAGCCCCCAGGAGCACTCTACAGGCTTTCCAAACCCTCTGCATGTCCTATTTTTGCCAGTTTTACATCGTGAGGGAAGACGCAGGAGCCATGGTTAAGAACAAGCTGTTTATTCAAGACATAGATGACAGCGATTCAAACTTCCCTGTAACGGCCAGGGTATTTATACAAACCCAGAGCAACTGTCAAAATTACCAACCAATCAGGGGCTGGTAACTGGCTANTAAGTCTAACTGCTATTGCTATTGTCTAAGATCAGTTCCACAGATCTTCGGGATTATCTCATCTTCCTGAGGCAGGAGAGAGGTGGCCCTTTGGTCCAGCCTTGAAAACAAGGGCAAAAAAGTTGCTACCTTCACACAACAAAGGGCAGCAGTTGCCATTGGAGGAAAAGGAGAAGGGAAAGGCATCTTTGCACCGTGTAGCAGGATGGAAGGATTGATCTCAGAGTGACCAATTGGAGCCGACCCAATTGCTGACCACCAATTGCTGACCACCCTCAGGCTCATTCTCTTTGCACCTCCACTGAAGAACTGAATTTCTGCCTAGACTATTGTCATCCAGCTTCAATTTTCCTCAGTGTCAGGTTGATGCCAAGATAGAAGCTTTGATATAAGCACCTCCCCACTAATTGGTAAACAGCCCTTCTTAGAACCAGGTCAAAGGGCTTGTGTGGATGATGACCCTAAAGCTGAAGATATAAACCCAGTGGACTTATTTCTAGAGAAGTGAGAATGGAAATTCAGTTAAAACTAGCAATTTTGAGGAAGCACTCAATTACAAGAATCTCAGCTATGCTGAAATTCTTCTGTCAGTTTCCACACATGCTTCAGTATTTTTACTCTGACTGACGCAGCCAAGCTTTGGAGAAGTTTAGCAAGTTTTGCTGTTGTTATGTTTCTTCAAAGTTTCTTTTTCTCTAAATCTCCTGGGTCCACACAATTAATTAATCTTTGGATTGCAATGATAAACTAAATGAGATTATAGATTTTGTTAAATTGCTTCTCGTTCCCAAAAGAGCAACATGGGCAATTGATTGAAAAGTTAATATGTTCCACCCAAATGAGAAATATCATTTTTAACTCCCTGACCTTGGAAAACAGTGATCTGACCATTCTACAAATATTTAGGAAGTTTGTAATTACTCAGATAACATGTACTATAAAACAAGAGTTTGAAGGAGGTTTTGTTTTGTATCCTTGTCGGTTTACTAGAGCAAGAATCAGAACCCCCTCCTTAGATAGTTTTTAATTTGTCACAAACTCTAACTGCCAAACTATAGAAGGTTGGGGAGGGGGAATCACAATGTAAGCCTAATCTCAAATACATCTATCTGAAGACTTCTGCACAGTTAAAGGTAACTAAAGAAAGTCTAAACATCTGGAAATTCCCTACACATCATGTTCTGATATGTTTGAGAACCCAAGTATTATTAGCAGCTAAACCCAGGCAAGGGACACAGTGGCTAAGACACTGAGCTTGTCAGTCAGAATGATTGGCAGTTCGGCTGTTCAAATCTCTAGCGCCGCATAAGGGAACTAATGGAGTGAGTTCCTGTTACTTGTCCCAGCTTCTGCCAACCTAGCAGTTCAAAAGCATGTAAAAATGCAAGTAGAAAAATAGGAACCACCTTTGGTGGGAAGGTAACAGCATTCCGTGTGCCTTGGGCATTTAGTCATAGCAATAGCAATAGCAATAGCAA